ATTTTTGCTTGAAAAGTCAACCTTTTTTTTTTTTTTACAACAAAAGCCACTTTCTTCAATATTTTGTTTCTAATTAAAACAAATACTTCAAATAAATGAATTCAAATAAATATTATACAACTAAATCTAGCAATCTCAAATTAAATCAATTATTTAATTTCAAATCCAAAATATTATAATTTTGTACAAATGCAAAGCTATTTTTGTTTTCTAATCTAAATAAATGATAAATGCATGCTTTCGTGCTGTTATCAAGGCCCTGAAAATATCTCGACAACTCATTAGTGATTCCATCCAGCAATCAAATCTATTCGGTCTTAAAATGTTAAATTAACCTGTCAAAAATGGTTTCCCATGTAAGAGCTTCTTCAATGAAATGAGGAACAGCAAATTCATACAATGAACTTGTCAGTGACAGGAAGCTTTTAGTATTGAACACACACACACACACACCTTCCACTCAATGACCAGCTATGGTTCATTGATTACCTTATCAGAGGAATGTCAAAAGAGAAACGCTCGCTCATTTCCGTTTCTGTGGAGTGAGCTTTATGACAGTGCATTTCTGCTTGAAAGAATATTCAAATGACACCTGCTATCTCTCAATGACAATGCAATACAACATAAACCAACAAAACAAACAGAAAAGCCGCACAAGTGCTAATGGACGCTCTGCCCTTGACTAAGCAGAGCATCCTTCATGCTCCTACCTTTGAGCTGTGTGAATGTGCTCCATTTAGAGACGAGTATGTGTGTGCGTTTAGTGGGATATGATGAGAAATGCGCCTATTCTTTCAATAGGGCCCTATGAAATCCATTTTATTTATTTATTTTTCCCCCAAATTTTATTTATTTATTTAACCAAATTCTGTGTTTTCTATTTTAATGGTTTAATTAAATTTTAATGAGAAACATTTAGTACGTTTAGCCCTAATAAATTGTGACCCTGGAGCACAAAAGCAGTGTTAAGTCGCTGGGGTATATTTGTAGCAATAGCCAAAAATACATTGTATGGGATATATGTATGGGTCAAAATTATAAAAAAAATTTTATGCCAAAAATCATTAGGATATTAAGTGAAGATCATGTTCCATGAAGATATTTTGTAAATGTCCTACCGTAAATATATCAAAACTTAATTTTTGATTAGTAATATGCATTGCTAAGAACTTCATTTGGACAACTTTAAAGGCGATTTTCTCAATATTTAGATTTTTTTGCACCCTCAGATTCCAGATTTTCAAATAGTTGTATCTCGGCCAAATATTGTCAGATCCTAACAAACCATACATCAATGGAAAGCTTATTTATTCTGCTCTCAGATGATGTATAAATCTCAATTTCACAAAATTGACCCTTATGACTGGTTTTGTGCTCCAGGGTCACATATTAATTACATGCGTTTTCATGAGATTCACTCACAGCAGTGTAATTGAACTCTGAAAAACTGAGTAAATGTTGAAAACGCACCACGACTGGGAGCCAAAGGGTTGAGAGGACGATACACCGATCTTGGCCTGAAAAACAAATCAAGCCATTGAGAATAATGATGAGTTTCCGAGCAGCATGTGATTGTCTGTGTGTGTGATTGTGTCTCACTTGAAGCAGTTTTCCTCATAGATGCTGTTCCACACTCTCCAGGCCGACGGTCCTTTATATCCGGTGTATCGCTCCGGGTTCAGCAGCAGATCCACGTGCTCTGCTTCAGGAGACATCTCATCTGCACACACACGACACCGGCGTTAACACTCGTCTGTTATTCATCTCCAGACACAGCCAATTCATTCTGCCTCTCAGATACCACAGTGAGATGATTTTGCCAATAAAGACAGAATTGTATACAAATAAGTACATAAATTATATTAATTTAATTTTAAAAATATAAGGTAAAATAAAGCAATTCTGAGAAAAATGCAATGGTGATTTAAAATGTGATTTAAAAAAGAAAAAGAAAAAATCCCGGTTTGCTGTGCTTGTCTGTAGAGCTGCACAATTTGGCCAAAATTTTGTTATATCATCATCAATTTATTATTATATTTTATATTTAAATTACAAATATTATTATTAGACTAGGGCTGCACAATTCTGCCAAAATGTTATTTTATATATATATATATAATATTTTGTAATCCTGTACAAAATTACAATGCATTTGTATCAATAATAATAATAATAATAATTATTATTATTATTATTATTGTGTCATTGTTATTATTATTTTTATTATAATTATTATTGCTAGCTTTGTATTACAAAATAAAAATATTAAAATTACAAACTAAAAACAAAATAAGAAATATTAGACTAGGGCTGCACAATTTCATCAATTTTATTATATATTAAATTATATGATATACCTAGACATTTATTATTATTATTATTATTATTATATAAAAAAATAAAAATTACTAAATAAAAACAAAATAAGAAATATAAATAATAAAATGACAACAAAATATTTAAGAAAAATAATAATTTGACTATACATTATATCTGTAATTACAATAATATTTATGTCTTAATTTCTTTGCTTTTCATACATTAAACAGCTCTTAACACGTGTAAATTAACTCAGAACCACACTTCACTGTGAAACACACAGTGCATATATATATTGAATTAAATCCCAACCTTTGTGATTGGATAATAGCACTAAAGCCATTTTTTGAATTTGGTTTTATTTTATTTTATTTTATCATGCAGCCCTACTGTATATAGAGTTATAAAACACAACGTCCTATAAATAAGCATCACAGATCTACTGATAGCAGATCAAACTCAACCTGAAACTAACAGTTAGACAGTAAACAACCACTTCCGCTTCTGAGACTCAGAGTAACATGTAAAGGACTTGTTTAGTGATGTTTTTCTGTGCAAACTCACCGTCTAACCCGCAGAAGTGATCCTGAGCGTCGTCATGATGAGCCCAGTCTGCAAACGCCTCTTTAGTCTGATTACTGCAGCACAGAGACGGAAACTGACATGTTTTAATGCATTTCGGAGCAGTGAAGTGTGTGTGTGTGAGAGTGTGAGTGAGCGTGTGTGTGTGTGTGTGAGTGTGAGTGTGCGTGTGTGTGAGTGTGAGTGAGCGTGTGTGTGTCTGTGTGTGAGTGTGAGTGAGCGTGTGTGTGTCTGTGTGTGAGTGTGAGTGAGCGTGTGTGTGTCTGTGTGTGAGTGTGAGTGAGCGTGTGTGTGTCTGTGTGTGAGTGTGAGTGAGCGTGTGTGTGTCTGTGTGTGAGTGTGAGTGAGCGTGTGTGTGTCTGTGTGTGAGTGTGAGTGAGCGTGTGTGTGTCTGTGTGTGAGTGTGAGTGAGCGTGTGTGTGTCTGTGTGTGAGTGTGAGTGAGCGTGTGTGTGTCTGTGTGTGAGTGTGAGTGAGCGTGTGTGTGTCTGTGTGTGAGTGTGAGTGAGCGTGTGTGTGTCTGTGTGTGAGTGTGAGTGAGCGTGTGTGTGTCTGTGTGTGAGTGTGAGTGAGCGTGTGTGTGTCTGTGTGTGAGTGTGAGTGAGCGTGTGTGTGTCTGTGTGTGAGTGTGAGTGAGCGTGTGTGTGTCTGTGTGTGAGTGTGAGTGAGCGTGTGTGTGTCTGTGTGTGAGTGTGAGTGAGCGTGTGTGTGTCTGTGTGTGAGTGTGAGTGAGCGTGTGTGTGTCTGTGTGTGAGTGTGAGTGAGCGTGTGTGTGTCTGTGTGTGAGTGTGAGTGAGCGTGTGTGTGTCTGTGTGTGAGTGTGAGTGAGCGTGTGTGTGTCTGTGTGTGAGTGTGAGTGAGCGTGTGTGTGTCTGTGTGTGAGTGTGAGTGAGCGTGTGTGTGTCTGTGTGTGAGTGTGAGTGAGCGTGTGTGTGTCTGTGTGTGAGTGTGAGTGAGCGTGTGTGTGTCTGTGTGTGAGTGTGAGTGAGCGTGTGTGTGTCTGTGTGTGAGTGTGAGTGAGCGTGTGTGTGTCTGTGTGTGAGTGTGAGTGAGCGTGTGTGTGTCTGTGTGTGTGTGTGAGTGTGAGTGTGAGTGAGCGTGTGTGTGTGTGAGTGTGTGTGTGTGTGTGAGTGTGTGTGAGTGTGAGTGTGAGTGAGCGTGTGTGTGTCTGTGTGTGAGTGTGAGTGAGCGTGTGTGTGTGTGTGCGTGTGTGTGTCTGTGTGTGTTTGTGTGTTTTACCTCAGTGTGCTGTTCACGGCGCCCAGTTCATGAGCCTGTTCACACTCTCTTGCATCACTGATGCTGCCGGCGGCCTGAGAAAACTAGCAGAGAACAAGACAACACCGATCAACATACTGCATGAGAAAGATTAAATATGTGTAATGTACACAAGTACTACTGTGTTTGCTTTAGAGGAAAACTGAATGCACCATATCAAATGTCAACCTTTTTAATAGTAAGGGACAAATATTAACTGATTGTGGGCCGTGGGCCAAAAGTAAATATTGCAAAACAGATAACTCCGTTTTTAACAATTTTCAAAAATCATGTTTTTTCATTGTGCCTTCCAATTATTCTCAATCAAACTGCAGTTGGGTTATTTTGATTAGGTAAAAAATAACAAAAAAGTACAGCTAACTAACACAATAAAGCACAATTAAAACATGATAACATAATAAAAAACATGATTTCTGAACATTTAAAAAAACTGAGTTATCTGTTTTTGCAAATTAACACTTCAAATATTAAGAACAAAAATGTAACATTGTAAACACTTTAATCGTCATTACTGTTTTTATTTCATGTCCTCTTTTTCCCCTCCTTATAGTTGCCACAAGTTGCAGGAGTCAATGCTGAGTTCTGCAAGCAGCTTCAAAAATTACAGAGGCATCCTGAACTGGTGTGTGGTAATGCTGGTGAGTCTGAAACAGTAACTGATCCCTGCTGCACTGCAAGTTTTGACTTGCCTACTCATTATTCTAGTTAAACTGTGTCACAAATATCAGTGTGGGTTGTAAATATTCCCTCTCACTCAGAGGTGCTTCCAAGATTAGTACCAATAATTTTTACTGCCTCTTACGTAAGGCGGTTAATATATATATATATATATATACACACATATATATATATATAGTAAAATATAAAATGTACAGCTCAAAATGTACATAAATATTTTTTTTTTCACCATTTCATCATTAGGAAAAATATGAAGATTGTTTGTTTATTTATTTATGTATGTATTTGTTTATTTAATTCAATTTTAATTATGTTACAATTTTACAAATATATTTTACAAATGTATTTTTCATATACATTTTAATTTTTTATCAAATTCAAAAAAAAAATTATATTCTTTTTTTTTTTTTTTTTGAATTTTAATGCAAAAACAAAAATAATGTTATAACAAATTTTTATGTTTTTCCCCCCTATTTTCCCCTTCTCTTGTGACAATTTCAAGGTTACATTTTAGCAAAAATCAAGCACACTAACTACAACGATACAAAATAAAAACAAAAATAGAAACATAAACATTAAATAAACATAACACCAATTGATATGTAAATCAAAACATATCAGATATTTTCAAAAACAGCAGATAAAACATGACACTATTAGAAATGACTAAATATGTTTATTGCAAATGTTTACTTTCTTTAGAGGAAACTATAGTAAAACTGAATGTTTTCAAGGAATCAAAATTCAGCAATTAAACGAGATGAAAACCACGTGAAATTAATTTATTAACAACCCTTTCTGGCTTATAAAGTCCAGGTATATCAGATGAACATACGTGACTGTAAACAGGTTTCTCGTGTTGTTACAGCGCCGTGTGTTTCCTCTCCAGATGTGTCTGAGGTCGTCTAGCTCACAGCTCAGTAAAAATAACCCGTTCATCTGCTATCAGACTCTCTGAGTGCTGACTCAAGCTTACTCGCTCTATTACACAAACAAACACTGAGCGCCCGCGCTTCACACAGCTGAGCAAACACCGCAAAACCTTGCACAAAACACCTAATCCAACCGAACGCAAAACGCTCCTAAACGCAAACACGTTTCAGTCTCTTACCTTGTTATAGTTGCCAGATTTGATTCCTACAGGAACCTTACTCTAGAAGAAAAAAGAAAATTCTTTAAAAATCTCGTTTTGATCAATAACAGCTGGAGGAAATAGTCATGAAACAGAATGAGAACAAGCTTTTTTGGGATAGTCAAATTAAAACAAATGAGCCAAGCGTGTTGAACTCTGACCTCTGGGCACGGCTCTACGTGACAGTCTTTGATCGAGCATTGGCCCTCATCAGGCCAGAACGGACACGGACGCTTCAGATTCACCTGTGGAGAAAAATACATTGAGTTTCTGTGGCTAGAATACTTCTTAGCTGGATAAGACAACAGTGAACTTATGAGAATATGAAAAATCTAGCATAGGATATCAATAATACAAAATTTAAATATATTAACATGTATATATGAATATATATGTATATTAATAAATATATTTATATTTATACATTTATATTAATAAATATATATTTATATATGAATATATATTTATATTAATAAATATATTTATATTTATGTTAATATA